CATAGACCTAGCCCTGCAAAATGAAGCCCTGCTCGACATATGGCCCAGACTTTTAATGTTATGTGCAAAGATTTGATGTTGCTCATGGATGAAACTGTTCAAATGAGAAAAGTGCTTTGGCAAAACCACGTGATTCTTGATTTGTTAAGTACAACGGAAGGAGGTATTTGTGCCCCGTTACATATAGATTGTTACATTTATATACCCCCAGCGTTTAAGGGGGTGGGATGTGGGGAAGCACTCAGACTACTTCAAAGCTCAGGGGCGTCGAAAGACATCTGAGAACATGATCCGGCTTGTCTAGCGCAGGCGCACGGTGGGATAGAGTTCTGTAGCCATGACTTAGCACAGGTAAACATACATGCACTGGTTAAAGACTCTGTAAGAATGTAAATATGAGATAACAAGCTGTATAAAACTTTTTCAATAAAGACACAGGTGGCTCTTGCTCTTGCACGTTTGTGCTCCTCTGCTCTGCTCTGTTCCATGTTTCCTGCTGCTGTTGCTGATGTCGTACACATGTGCTTTCTTTAACCTTGGGACCTCACTCTCGAGAATCTCTCTTGTGCCCCTCAGGCAGGCAGCCAGAGCAGAGCTTCCCCAAGAGGAGAACCACAGGCATCCACAGCAACAGCAAAGACTCAAGCTCCTGTAATGATGAGAGAAGCTGAGTTTGCATCAGGAAAAGCAGTGTGAAAATAACACTGCTGAATAAATACATAAACCATAAATAAATTAATAAACCATTCAGCAACAGCAGGCCAGCTTCCTCTCTAGTTTTCCTTTTACACTGTTGGCAACAATCCTCACATGGACCTTCCATACCATAAATCACACAGACTTCGTGCAGCTGGGGGTTCCAAGTGGACCAAGAGTAAATGCACCACACATGACAAGTACAGAATGTCTACACTAGCCTGCCCACTCACAGGGACAAACACTTGGCAAAGAAGGGGAAATTAGGTATATATGTATATGCAGCATAGCTAACATAGCTGTACTACTGATTTCTATCGCTTTACTGAAAGGATCAGTTAATGATTAATAATTTGATCCATCTTGCATGTCTCCATTTGTTT